TTGTCCGTGTTTTGAGCATCTAAACAGTATTGCATATAGCATGAGAGAGTTTGCATCCATTCCTGCTCCATCCACTGTGTTAACGCCTACTAAGACTTAGAGGTGACTTAAAAACTGTAGTGGTGATCTGATGTTTTTCCTAAAGAAGGTCTCTAAATTCTTCGGTCGCTTGATAAAGGTAAACGGTTAATTATCCCTCATCTTAAAATGGTGTATGGTTGTGGTGTTGGTGCATTTCTTTGTCAACTGAAGGAGAAAGACAGGGCATTAATCTCCGTAACGAATTCTCACAGATTTAATGTTGTTTCTCGCGAAATAATGCTCTAGTTGATCAAACCTAAACTCGAGATCACTGCGATCAAATCACGTGAATCTAACTTTCGTACTTTTAACAGTGTCTATCTTTGCCGGTGACAAATCACACATATCCAGGCTTTCAGTATGGATTGAGTTTGACACGTGCTGTGTAACCAATATATTAGTATAATATGAACGAGATTAAATAACACATAAACATTTACGAATTTTTTTAAAAGATAATGAGAAGGTTTGCATTTACGAACAAGAAGAAAAGCAGAACATAAATTAAATTTGTGTTCAAATAGAGCTCACCAATTTACTGACTCTGTGTACCTCTCATTCTATTGACAGACGAAGCCAAACTATAAGTGTTTGATATTACCAACACATTCACGGTCAACTCCTAACCGATCGACCTAGATTGTTACAGGCCCAGTTCAGCTGAAGAGTTTTTAAAAGTGTTATCCTCACCTATTACGCCGTTTCTAAGCCTCACCGACTAGCTTGTATCCTTTATCCTTGACTAGCCGCTCTGGTTTACCTAATTTCTATTCTAGTTTCTACGTTATATCTTTTTCTCCACAGTAGTTTACTCTTCTTACAGTAGACCTCGTAAGGCTTGGAACCTATGGCTGACGGCAACTTTATATTCGCTCAAGTTGCCAATATTTCGAAGGAACGCTGTTTCTTCAGTTTATCAGTGCTTTTTAGCTTAAGTTGTCTTTGCAATCATCAGGTAGTGGTCTGAAATTATGTCAGCTCCTCTCCTGGATTTAACATCTACCGTTGTCCTTCTAAACATTTTGGCGATGCGAATATAATCGATACGGTTTTCTGTAGCGTGGTCCGGTGATGCCTATGTAGCCTCGTGTTTGTGGGAGAATATAGTCCCACCCACAGCCATGTTGTTGAATGCACACAAATAGGTAAATCCGTAGCCAATTTCGTTCCTTTCTCCCAGCCAGTTCGTGTGTTCATGATACCTTCATATCCAGTGTTGTCTGTATCGACTTTCGTGGTTATAGACGGAATAGAAAAAGCCTTCGCTTAATGAGCCTCCGTATCTAGTAACAGTATATCACCGAAGCCTCTATGTAAGAACCTATGTATTTTTAACGATAAAAGCGAAAAAGGGATTAGTAAGTTATGGCGGGATACTGCCCTTAAGATTATATTAAGTTTCCTCTTGATGGACTTCTGGAAAGTCGCTTGGGCTAGCCCAGTCGACAGTGAATTCCAACATTTGTCAACTCTAACGAAGTAGACGGTGTGCCTAGTCCCTTTTGCTGCGTTGTTTATACAGTTTCTGGGTGCTACCCTAAGGTTTGTGTTGAGACTGTGCTTAATTAGGTGGTTAAGGGGTTGTCCAAAAGTGTTTAGGATGATGTGAGTGAGGGAGGAAATACTGTTTCCGTACCCTAAGTGGAGTCGAATAAAACTGTCGAGGACTAAATGGAAATTTTCACCATTGAACTGGTCAAGAACGCGCTTCAACTTCAGCAGTCCAAGGCTTGCTCGAAAAGCGTTCTTGCCGCAGTTAGCGTAGGACTTCAGATCATAGTGTAATAACACTTCTAGATCCTTTTCAACCTAGATACTTCTAGAGGAGAGTTGACTAAATTGTGTTTGTGGCCTGCAGCATGTCTCAGATGAACAACCTTACACTTTGAAGTGCTATAGATGATTCCGTTGTTGTCAGCACAGCTTTAAAGTCGAGTCAGATCGTCCTGAAGTGCCAGTTCATCCTCTTTGTAGCATACTTATCTCCAGAGTTTCACGTATTCAGCAAAAAACAATGAATCCGACGACAATCCTGTGGAAGACCACTTATTTAAATGAAAAAAAGAAGAGGTCCTATTACTGTAGGCTGAGAAAAATGACGTTAACCCAGATCTTAAAACGCCCACTATTTAGATATGAAGTGAGCCAATCGATAAGACATATGTGATTGACCATATGAAAAGCTTTTGAGAAGTCAAAATATATAACCCCAACCTTCCCAGTGTGATCAAGCTCGATTGTCCGTCTGTACACTTCGGTCAGAAGATTGGTTATATTAGAATGACCTTTTCTGAAACCGTGCTGTTGAGGTGAAAAGAAGTTTACGGATGCTAAGTAGTCACACAGAAAGTCATACATCAGGGAGTCTATAATTTTCAAAGGTATTAATAGTAGTATGGCGGTTCGGTAGCTTGATGTTTTACTGCGTCCGCCTCTTTAGAAAATATGTGTGACGTAAGTTAGATTCCAACTTTCTGGTAATGTGCTTCGGCTTTGTGAATGTGGGAACATCACGCTAAGCAGTATTGCCAAGAATGAAGCTGCTCCCCTCAGTACGGCAGACTGAGTCATATACGGGTTTTCTTTATAGGTGCTACGATTTCCTGTACACCAATTCAGCTCTCAGGATCACTTCTGGGAGTTCTGTTGAGTAATAGTACAGTCTCCACGTAGTATGGAACTAATCACCGTAGAAAATGACACAGCCACCACTCTATATGGTAACTCGGGAGTATATCCCAATTCTTGTTTGGTTTCCAATTAATCATACGTTATTTTTGAAATTCTATCAAGCAACAACAAAATCCCCTTTGATTCCATAAGTAGTGATTGTGAATTGTCATAATTTTATTAAACGGCAGGTTCGACCGTTTACACGTGACTAGGAGCACTTTCTAACTACTCAGATGCAGATCACAAGGAATAAACAATTTGCTAATTCCTCAAAGGAAACTTGATGTCTAAGTGATTTTGTCCTTTAGGCATTGAGGGGATCAAGAAATACACTTACACCATTTTGCATAACCAAACTATATGAGACAACCGAAATCGAAATTCCAAACATAAAACTGCGTGCTTCTTGTGGTTTATATTGTCTTTGAATTTGAAGATTGTTAATATGTACCTGTTATGAGGGTCAATCAGGGAGGCGGCTGTTGGTCAGTTGACTTTTTGTGGACCATGGTACAATAAGTGATTTAGCCCTAGTGGGGGTTTAACAGTTATATAAGACCGTGTCCGACCTAAAATATTTGAATTCCTCAAAGGAGTAAGACTGTTCTATATCCTAAAATCTCATCTGCGACATGTCACAAATCAAAAACACTAATAGTCTTCATACACTCATATAAAGTTTTGCACCGTAATAAAATGACTTTTGAGCTAACCCTGCACTTAAAATGTTAGAGCGCGAGTTTGACAGTAAAACGTTCTACCTATTCCTTAGCAGTTTTTTCGGTGAGACAATTTATGGGCGACCTTTGAACAATAAATTGACCTTGAACTGTCCGCCTACTTACTAGAGTTAAATGAGGGCTATAAATTGGTATGAGGGATTAGAATTAGGATTTACGGTTGGACGTGAGGTTGAGAATTTAATGTTTTCATCACGAACTAATATCAGCTATAATGCCGAAAATGGTATTTGACCAAATTGGTACCGATTTCATAAGATTTTGTGTATTCGCTTTTGAGAAGCTCAAGACAAACAGGTATGTAAAGTCTCAGTTTACTACTAAATCCTCGTGGTGAGGGTGTTTGTTAAATTATGGAGATGGAAGGTGAGTGTTCGGCACTTAAAGCGAGTTAGTGGGTGTGGCGGATCCTCCAACGGCGGTTGGGAAACCTTGATTTTAAACCAATGATGCACATGGTCTCCAGGATCCCGAGGGAACAAATGGTGTACGAACCTAATGTTGATCACCCCTTATTTTTTTTATTTATTTAAATAAATAAACATTGGTACAAGAAGGCACCAAATACATATGCGCCATATAAATCACTCGGTTTGTGTGAGGGCTGGAATACTGTCTTGATTCCCAAACCGAAGCAGGTAGTTTTCCTAGGTGGCCACACCTCGAGCTTCTGACCTGGATTTTTAGTCCACAAGGCTGTGGAGCAGCTTTAGGAAATGCAGTCATGTGGTAGCCGGTTCATGCACCCTTTGTTCCTTCAAAATCCTGGAGCCCATTTACACCATTGGTTTTGAATCAGGATTTTCTAACTCCCTTAGGTGGATCCACCAACCGAGTTAAAGCACCGGACATTCGCCTTTTGTCCCCTCACTTTTGTAAACAACAGTAATGCCGCGGAAAGGCAGTGAGTAGGAAGTCCCTGACAGTGGTTGTATGCACGTGGTCATGTGAGAGAATGTTGAGAGGGAGAGCTGACTCTCCCCACCCTCGGCCGTATCATGGCATTTGGGGTTTGCATCTCCTAATGCTACTCCACTGCCTTGTGGATTAAACCTCTAGGTCAAAAGCTTGGGGAGTAGGCTTTTCAGAAGACCACCTGTTTCGGTTTGGCGACCTGGATATCATCACAGCTCACACGCCAAGTGAATGATGACTACTTTTTGCGGTGCATATATATTTTGGTCCCTATTGTACCAATGTTTTCGTGTTTAAATTAATAATAAATATACCGAAAAGTCTTCTTCAATATCTGGTCTATAAGTGACAAATTCACAAGTGAAAGCAACTTTTTAGTCCGTGGTTAATCTTTTTTTACCTGGAGAGATGATTCCTTACTATTTGAAGGGTAGATATACTCCGGAGTAATAATAAAGCATTCTCCACATTTTTTATTCCTTAGTGTTTTTGGGACTATAAGAACAAGAGGTCTGTTATGACTTTCCCTTTTTGGATTATTGTGGATGGGAAAGGTTTTATACTATTATAAGTTTGGAAATATACGTTGAAATGTACTCATTTGAAGGGAATTACAAATCAAAGCGATCATTAGTGCTTGATCATACCCAAAAGGTAATGCTTTATTCATGTATTCATTTACTTATTTTAACAAACATAACATTTGCGGGTTGTGATAAATTCGTTTTATTTCACAGAATCATTGTTGGCTACATGCAAACTGTATAAGATGTATCCATTATGTAAAAAACAAACGTAATTCATCTATAGGATACGAATGTGTCTAGTTCATATTTTGTAAACAGAACATGGGGAACATAGTGCTATTGAAATACCGCTAGTAACTATAGGAGTGATACTTGGAGTAGAGAATGAAAATAATGTGTGAAATATCGGTTCGAGAGTTGAAAGCTACCATCTTAAAATTGCTTTGGAGTACTGTTGCGCGGGAGGTTTTAAGTTCGGTGAATAGGTTTTAAATTGTTGGATGGATAATTAGGATGTTGGTTTATTGATAATACAATATGACTGACGATTAATTGTTCACCAGACGAAGTTGTAGACGCAGGCCACAATTGGATTGATATCAAAAGACAAGATAACTAGCTAATGCAGTATTTTTAGTGACCACATATTTATGTACAAAACACTAGATACAACAATAAATATGATTAAATGTCATAAGTTATTGAAGTATATGAGTTTTATAGGCCACTCACTTGCCAGTTAATTAAGACCAGACTGTTAGTTTTATTTCTTTCTCGAATCAAGTACCAAGAAATTAGATTGACAACTACTACCTTTAACACAAGCAGTTGAATTATTTTGTCTCATGACAATCACAAACTACTCAAATATATTAATGTTATTCTGTATTAGTTATATGGTAAATAGTACTGCGCAAAATACCTTGACCTAAGATATAAATCTCTTGGTATATAATTAGACAGTTTAACTAGTCTAAATTTCCCCTATCATTCCGATTGATTTACTGCAACACGCGAATTGAAGAATGTGATTGAGTGGAACAACTGTAAGTACCTTATCTATTTTAGACTCTGTAACTAAGTGTGCTAGCAGCTGGATAACCACTGGTCATTTCAATTCCACTCAACCTGTTGGTTTTATTTGCCATTCTGTTGTACTTAGCATTTAACTCCGTGATGTGAAGCTGTGACTTATAGTTGAAATATTCAACCTTCAGCCACTGGGTCCCACGTTCGAATTACACTACAACTTTATCTCGTTGTGAATAATTTATTCTCACAAAATAGTTAAATTATATTGATTAATATGTAATTTTTATCAAGGTGAAGTGATATTTAAATCCCTAGTATTTGGTTGTGCATGTCTTCAAAAAATTGCTAGCGTATAATTAGACCATCATGTAATTTACATTTATATTTGGCTGAAGATATTGAGTTAATATGATAAATCAGTATATGAGGTATTATACCTTCAACTCATCATCCTAGATATGTGTATCACATTTTCCGACCACCGCTCATCCTGATACCAAATGATAATTACTTCAGAAGTTGTAAATATTCTAGAAACGGACAAATCAAGATTTGGAGTCAATTTACGAAGGCACTAATCATTGGACTGGTCTGTGTCACTGAGCGGAGACTTCCGGGCTAGAATTTGGGTCACGCAGCACCACGAGTAAACTGAGTTTAGGGATGTGAACTATCAGATACCAGTTAAGTTGTATGAAGTTTAAATGCTCATCGTGAGGTGTGAGGGTCTTGCGTTCGATTCCAGGTAGGGTCGTGGATAAATACTTGTTAGGAGTCCCATACTATGACGAAATAAATGTTCAGTGCTCCTTGGTTTTCAGTTGTCTAACTAAAGTAATCCCGTGGTGTGAAACTATGGGATTGTGACATGTATTTGGAGACGTTCAGCCATGTAATGGGACCCGAAAATCATCACAGTAACTGTGGTATATGTGTTATGTATCCTCCTCTTAGAGTCTAAAGCTTGAGGTTAGTGTAATTTTATTTTTCGTTGCTAATCGTTTTTCTTGCTCTATGTTTCTTCTAGCTTTCCACTGTATCTTACATTATTCTCCATTTTCTATTACTTGCTATTATCCTATCACTATCCTGGTGTGAATAATCGTAACCTTACTATTACATATTTATGCCCTGTCATACATTATAATTAGCTGATAATTTCGTATTGCTGCGTTGGTTCGGCGTGTAGACTTGGACCGATACACATTTATACTAGGTTCTGCGTTACTTATGATGAACCAATTGGTTGAATCTGTTGTTTTCCATCTCTCATCCTCCTTGATACAGTCACAAGCAACGTGAAACCTGGCAGATATATGCATCGGTTCAAGTTGTTACACCACATGATCACGGTAAGATGAAATCCTTAAGAAAAATTCCAGTATGATGAAAGTAGTACCAATATCAGTAGTAGTAGAAAAAACTAGGCTAAGAAAATCTGATTCAAGATGAGTGACGGATAAGTTCACTGAATAAACAGTTTAAGATTAAAACTCAAGATCCAGTAGAAAACAGAGTGAATCCACCTGTATTATAGCAAACTATTCTGAGCTGTATCATTCAACATCTTCAGATATCGGTTATTGTGTTCGTGCAGATTCCAACCGGTCGGTCTCCATCTATCAACACGGCTTACTCCAATAGTTGATGACTTTGAATCGATGCCAAGTTTTGGTTTAGCTACCTTAGCTTTATTTTGACTCGCCCCTATACCAGCAAATATTACGAGTTGAGGTTGGTAGTGATTAAACATACCCAATACATGTCCCAAGTACCACAATCGATCGAGGTTCACCATATCATCAACTGATTTATCATCTTTACCTGGCACCATCCATCTAATCTCAGCATTAATCACTTAGTGGTCTCAGTATACATGAGTACTGCTTTGAAAGCATCTATGATCATATACAAGTAACCTATGATTGATCATGTCTTAACCGTAAAGTAAGACAGGACGATTCATCCTTCTTGTTTTACGATGAAATACTTATGATTTCTAATTTTCCTATTTTAAGGTTAGTTATTATTATTTTTGGTAAACTTAATTAGAAGTCCCCAACAATTATATTTAATCAATCTTTTTTTTATTTGGTAAATTGTTTTTCCATCCTTACACACTTTCACAGTTGTCAACTCATGCGCTTGTTCAAAAAACACGTGAAGAACGAAAGTCACGTGAAGTGAGTATTATATAATACAATTTATATATCTAAAATAAAATATGAAATTAACATTATGATTTGTTTTATACTTATTCATTGTTTCGTTCATGAGTCAGTCAGTCAGTCAGTTAGTCAGTAACAACGTGGAATTTCGTACGTACGTACATCAGTTCAAGTTGCCATACCACATTAGCACAGAGATGCAGTTCGTTCATGAACGAATTGAAATTTCTTTAATTAAAAAAAAATTGATTTGTTTTCTGAATAAAGAATGGATAAAGACTGAATATTGAATAAGGGCTTTCAGATAAATCTTATGATATGTGAAAGTTAGAGATATGATCTAGTTTTTTAAACAAATTGATTTCATGAAATTAATAATTGTGGATTTGGATTACGTAACAGAAAAATTGTACACTATCCAGTTGAAGACATTAGCTGAAATGAATCAAAAATGATTACAATAGCAAGAACTAGTTCATAATGTTTGTTTTTAGTTATTAAACACCTTTATACTGTATATTTTTTGTATCCCTCTTCTCCACTTATGATTTTCTTGTTGATTTGAATGTACTTTCATGCTACATTTTAATAGTGCTATTCGTCAGACTGGTGTATCTACATCGTACTGTTGATATTTCCACTTTGGCTCAATCTAAGTATTCATTGATTTGAATCTCAAAACGTTAATCAATAGGTTATTTAATCACCTCTTGTTCAATAGTTATTATTTATTACTTTTGTTGTCGTCAGTATTTGAATTGTCGTTTCATTCACCAACAGAATAAACCCCCAACTCTTTTTTTCCGGAATTTCGCTTCAGGTACACTGTAAATAAATACAAACAAAAAAATCCATGTCTAATAATTTCGTCCGCCGTTTCTCATAAATTTGGCCTAATTTTTATTGATTTTATTTATTTATTTATTTGAACACATATATATTGGTACAGGAGTGCGCCGAATATATGTGCGCCACACAAAACAACGAGAATCTAAGAAGGAAAAAAAAGAGGAACCTAAAAAAAGAAATACTAATAACAATTAAAAAAACAATAACGAAGAGATTGGTGTAAGGTAGTGTAATAATAATAATAGCAATAATAGGGGAACAGAAAGGTACAATCAGAAAAAATATTTCAGTTAAGGAAGATACAACCACTTCTTATGGAGAAAGTAAAAGAAGGTTACAGCACGATCGCCACTGGCTTCTATTCTGAGCCATATCTGATAACGTTTCTAGCCACTGTGTAGCACCATCTCTCGGACCCCTACCAGGGAGTCGTGAAGGACCAACACAAGCCAGTCCTTTGCAGCTTTCTTTCATACCACGACATCATGTCATGCACTGACGACCTCTCCACCTCGCTTTTTCCAACCAGTCCCAGAGTCGGCAAATAATGCACGACGTGGAATTCTCTGGGACGACATTCAGAGAACATGTCCAAACCACCGAAGTCGGTGTTTCAAGATGGTGACACCAATTGAATTATCGTCTCTGTGCCCAAACACACGATGTAGAACCTCTGCATTACTAACATGGTGTTGCCACTGAATGTCAGCAATCCTTCGGAGACAGCGATGATCGAACACAGCTACCCAGATACACGAACTTCTCGACTACTTCTATCTGCTCACCATCCAGGGTGAGTACAGGATTACGATCCTGCCATTCTTGTAGAAGTACTTTGCATTTCGAAGGTGCAAAGCACATACCATACTTACGGACACTGATTAAGTGCGCATTGCATGCCTTGGGCATTATCGCACAGCAAGACAATATCATCCGCATACTCAAGGACGAGAAGTCTTTCTCCAGGCAACAGATCCACACCACCATTACTTACATCCATCAGAGCTGTTTCCAGAATGTCATCGATGGCACAGTTGAAGAGGAATGGTGAGATTGGGCAACCCTCCCTAACCCCACTGCTCGAATGTAACAATGGAGAAAGGTGGTTGTATGCCTGTAGTGTCAGTCATTATTTTAAGCCCATATACCTTATTCTAGCTTTCGGACATTCCATTCTATTCATTCTACTTGAGTCATATTTTGACCTTGTTAATTATTCGCTTATCAATCTTTACTGTTTTTATATGAGCGCGTAGGTGTGTGTATACTTCTTATCCCATGACTCATCACATGTCTGTAGTTTATTTTTGTCTGACTATACATACTGAGTAACGCTTGACTAAAATGGAGTTGGCTTCCCAGCCATCTTCCCTGCGTGTCATTTTGCTCTGCTCTGTTTCATTCGCTTCATATACAAAATATATGCATTCACAAATCAATTCTCGTTATTCGACTTATTTAATTCCGTTACTGGATAACGTGATTTAAGTCAACGATTATATACGAGAATAGGCGATAACAAACATTCGTACGATCTAAATAGGAGTCAGATCCACGGGCCATTAAATGCCCTCACTCTGCCTGAGGTGTTTGTATATAGGGCTTTTAAGATGTTAATAAACTTCTCAGGCACACCCTTCTTCAATAGACAGTCCCTCAGAACAGTCATGTCCAACGAATCGAAGGCAGCCCTGATGTCAAGAAACACTATGATTGTTGGCCTTTGATAAGTATGGCGATGTTCTAACATTTGGCGGAGGGTGAAGATATGATCAATACATCCTCAACCAGAACGAAACCCAGCCTGCTCCTCGCGAGTCAATCATTCTCGGGTTTTGAACAACCTATGAAGTATGACGGAAGCCAATAGCTTGGACGCAGTCGGAAGTAGACTTATCCCCTGATAGTTGTTACAGGAATGACGTGAACCCTTTTTAAAGATAGGGACAACTATCGACTCATTCCATGACGTTGGTACACTCTCTAGTTCCCAAACCTTTGTAAACAACGTCGTCAATTCCTTAGTCAGAAAGTCACCACGATCTTTAAAAAGAGCCGGAGGTAAGTCATTTGGGCCAGGTGATTTGTAACACTTCAAGAGTTGGAGTTCCTTGTGGACTTCCGCCTCATTTGGTAGATCAGTCGTCACTGGCCATAAAGGGCAGGACAGTCCGACCGATGTTGCCGGAGCAGCAGGCCAGTTGAACTGCCCTTCGAAAAATTCTGCCCATCGTCCAAGACGTCGATGGATGTTAGTGATTGGCATCCCATCATCCTCGCAGATTGTTTCGCTCACACCAGACTTCTTGCTGCCAGTGGCTCGGATGAGTTGGAAGAGCTTCCGGTAGTTACCAGATGCAGCTGCTGCTTCCAGCTCATTAGCACGCTCCGACCACCATGTTTCTCGGTCCTTACGCAAGCTTTGCCCGATTTCCTTACGTAACATCCTCCGTTTATGGTTAAACTCACGGTCACCCGGAGTAGACCGACGAGCTTCAATGAATTGTAAGGAGCCTGAAGAAACCCAGTGCTTATAAGCGGGACGTTTCGCGAACCCACAACTGACTGTTCCCGCCATTTTCATGGCGTCATGAAATTGCAACCAATGCTCATCTATACTTTTCGGTGGAGTGGTAGCTAGCCTAGAGGCTAGCTCTGTTCGATACTTACTTGCAACAGAAGTTGCAACCAGCTTGCTAACATCAATCCGTTAGTGGCCGTCACTTCGTTGTCCACTGAAAAGTAAGGTAAGATTGTTGCAGACCAAGGCATGGTCAGATTTTAGATAGGTACTGCAAAAGGAGCGGCAGTCTTGTACACAACCGGCTAGTACTACAATATCTGTCGAACGCACTTTCTGGAGAAGAACAGATAACTGGTAATGAAACTCATCCTTGATTGCATCCGGGCTGCAATCTGTCGGGGCATAGTCGGAGATGACGAAAAGACATCGTTTCTCACGCCGATTTCTTCTCACTTTGATGGAACTCTCTAATCTAACAGCACATAACCGACTGTTAATAGGGATCCAATCGACTAGTGCTGCCTCAACTCTAGCGCTTAGTGCGACACCAACGCCGGCAAGACCAGACGAAGATGCCACAGGGTCCTCGGATAAGCGCACGTGAAACAAGCTTTTTGAAGTGACAGATGGAGTGCGAATTTGTAATACTTCGCCAGAGTCTTGAATACGGGTCTCGGATAGACAACAAACATCAATATTAAGACTTTCCAAAGACATAGCCAGCCCTATCTGTTGTCCAGCCTGCATAAGTGTGCGAACGTTGAAGGCAGCCAGTTTGAATGGTGCACGTGGTTTCACAAAAACTACTTCAGTCCTCTTATTCAGTGGTAACATACAATTTTCAACTGGACAATGACTCGAGAACGTTTAGATACAGTCGAATTTCCACCATAGACGAGCTTCTGTATAAGTCGAAAAAATAAGTCTAAACAGAGTGGGAATAAAGGAGGGTGAATAATGACGCAGTAAATAATAGTAATAATAATAATAATAATAATAATAATAATAATAATAATAATAGCAATAATAATAGTTGAATCATTTGAATGTTCGTCGAAGCAAGAGAATTAGTTTCCATGATCATAGACAGTTCAGTTCATTAATTGTGTGTCGGCTGCGATACTGCCCAGGTGCCCAAACCGAAGCAGGTGGTTATCTTAGGGGGCCACACCTCGAGCCTTTGACCTAATGGTCTGACCCACAAGGCAGTGCAGTTCCATGGTAGCCGGTGACCAACAATTGGTTCATACGCCATTTGTTCTCTGAGGATACTGGAGCCCATGTGCACCATTGGTTTGGTTTGGAATCCGGCTAAAGCGCTAGACATTCGCTTTTCGTCCTCTCATTTTCCTAAACAACACCCCTGGTGTGAAAAGGCAGTGAGTAGGACTTCCCTGGCAGAGGCTGTATACGCGTGGCCGTGTGAGAGTATTTCGAGAGGGCGAGTGAACCCACCCCACTCTCGGCCATATCAGGGCATTTGGGGGCTTTATTGATTTTTGGTACTGCGGTGTGTGCTACTGATATCGACTGATATAAGTAGTATGTATCGTCAATGGAAAGTGAAATATCTGTAGGCAGAAGGTTAAGAAGATCGAAGAAAAGAGAACGAGAACAAAAAATGATTGGTGTGAAAACAAAAGAACAATGAAACCTGAGATGATTGATTAACATGTTGCAAAAATGAATTATTTTTAGCGTATGATTCTCAGGTTTTACTAAGATGTTCTATAATTTTGTGTTGAAATACATTCGATTGTCCCCTCACTTATGTTCTCGTTCACTACAGTACAACAATACTTGTGGTGAATGACATATAAATATGATGAAAATAAGAACTATATAGTAGCATTAAACTTGTCTTCTCACAAATATTGTTTGATATAAATTCACTTGGTATTGTTTGGCTTGTATCTTCCCATTGAGGTTTAAGACTGTAATTGACCCGTCTGTTATTGGCATACGTGCATACTGTGCGTATGCCTCGACATTGCATTAAATCTCAAGCTTTTAAAAGCAAAGATAGGTAGTGGCTAGCAGTGGAATCCAGGACGCACGTTTCGTCCTATCGTCACTATCCATCATTGCTTACAAAAAGCTTGCGAATTAAGGCAATATCGAGGCATACGCACAGTATGCATATATGCCAATAACAGACTGATCAATTGCAGTCTTAAACCTCAATGGGAAGATACAAGCCAAACAATACCAAGTGAATTTAAATTCACCCCATTGCACAAGAAAGTGGTCATCAGGACTCAGTAGCTGAGTGGATAACGCGATGGCGTTTGAAGCGAATGGTACTGGATTCGAGTCCCAGATTGAACAACAACTCTGAGTAGCAAGTACACCCAGCTGATGAGTTCCAAATAGGACTAAACGCACGTCCTGGATTCCACTGCTAGCCACTATCCACCATTGCTTATAAAAATTGTTTGATATAGTTTGTTTTTCATCGAAGTAACACATTATATTGTTAATGAAATAAAGTGTGTTATTTCACAATTCTATCATTTTCTGTGTGTATTTGATTAGAATATGGTCAAACAAGAACGTGCCGCTACTAAAATTCAAAAATGTCTTCGAGATTATGTTGCACGAAATAAAATGGTAAGATTTCTAAACTTAACCAATCATTTACATTTTGTTGATGTATATAATACTGTCAGTCGGTAACATCGTAGAACTTCCGACGTACATACATCAGTTCGAGTTGCCATAGATCTTCTGCAAATGTTGTTTCCTATTTACTGGTACGATGTGATCTGTATGGTTTCTATATAAACCCAGTATATTTGAAATACATGGTTCATATCACAGAGGCTGAGATTGGTGTTCTGGATTTAACTGGTGGGGCTAGACCGGAAGCAGGACCGATAAGGACTCTAGACTGCTCGTACGTGTTTTACGCGTCATTGGTCTAATCGCTAAATTACTGTTCTCTAATTGGCGATATCATTACGTTATACATGAACAGGGCACTCAAGCTACAAGTTATAACATGTAGATATCAATTTAATGACTAGTATTACTTTATTATAAACATATTTACTTGGTTCCATCGTTCTTGTTCTTCCGTTTTTCTCTCTCTGTTCTCTCTCTCTGATGAATATTCTTTTAATTTTCTAGAAACGTTACTTTATTGAATTATTGAATGAATTATCTAAACAATTAGATGATATAATAAATAAAACTGGTTTCAATGTGGAGCATGAATTTTAACATAAATTATTGAAGTTACTTCAGTGTTTCAATACATGCTATCGTAATAAAAGTCCGGAACAAAAACATCTTGTAAGTTAGAATGTATGTTTGTTTTTTTGTTGTTGTTTGTATAAAAAAAGTCAAATATGAACCGAAAGGCTGTTTATATTTCATTCTGTTTACAATTCACCTTTTTTCATGAATGCAACTCAAGTAATAAAGTATGGAATTATGTTACTCAGCTTTGAAATACACTTTTCTGTGAGGATCCTTAAACTCAAGTAGATTCATTGAAATGGAAGCCTGAACCATAATGGTTGTAATTTAATTGCGTTGAACACTATAATCCACCAAATTGTTGTCAGAGGTGTAGTGAAGGTTGTCACTTCTCGGTTGGCCATACTATGGAAGAATACTTCTTGAAAAACCCTAAATGGAGACTGGATTAGTAATGATCTTGACGGTTTTCGAGCGTGTCTGCCGAGCACAAGACAACCGTCTGAGGCCGGTCACACACTACCTTTTAACAAGTAGTTGTTTGTTAAACGTTTAACCATGGGACAAGGTTTAGTATGCCATTTTCGAGGTATTAATCTTTTAAGTTCATCCTCCCTTTTTGGAGGGGTCCGAAAGATGGTGCGACACATTGGTAGAGGCGTTAACAGATATGGCTCAGAATAGAAGCCAGTGGCGATCCTGCTGTAACCTTCTTTTACTTTCTTCATAAGAAGTGGTTGTATCTTCCTTAACTGAAATATTTCTTCTGGTTGTACCTTTCCGTTTCCCCCATTATTATTATTATTACACTACCTTACACTAATCTGGTCGTTATTGTTTTTTTTCTTTTACGCTCCATATCTTCTTTTTTTCTCTTCCTATTCTCATTGTTTTGTATGGCGCATATATATTTGGTGCCCTCTTGTACCAGTATTTATGTGTTCAAATAAATAATAAATAAAATCCTTTTTTGGAAGGAAATATTGGTTCACATGCTGTGATAATGGGGTATGACAACTTGAACCGACGTACATAAGTAAAAGTTCTATGTTGTGACTAACTGATCGCTGTTTGTTTGAAGGAAACATTCTGATACCGTCACACCTCAGTAAAGTTGGCATTATAACTTCTTCAATTCTTAGGTTTGCTACTTTTAACATTATCGCTCTTCAGCCGACTAGCATGGCGTGATAAAATCTATAGGAACTAATTTTCCAGCCAATATACCTCGATTGGGTCACCATGATATGATAGTCTGACAACACTACATCAAACTATTAACCATAGTCGACACCATAATCCACCGAAACTCACTTATTGAATACCCCTTAATCCAGTGAATCATTGACTTCAATCTTCGGTAAACCATTCCAAGGTAGATACTGATGCCTCCTACAATTATCAGTTCCAAATAGGAAGAAACAAGGGAACCTGCTGAAACCCCACTGACCACCTACTTTTCAACTGTGGACATAAAGCAATGGATTTCGCTGTTTCAGATTTATTCTAATTGAAAAATTACGTCTGCTAACCGTATGTATGTATGTGACCTATGACTTCGTTTATTACTGACAAAATTCAAAGGGAACTACCATGGTGGTTAATTTACTCTCATTCTAGCTTTTTTTGTTTAAGAGCAAGAGACTGCCACATTTGAATTTATGTATTACATGAATATGCGACAAAAATATTGTAATATTTACAATTGGCTCGAAGACAGGAAAGATATCTATTTCGTCCTAGTCTGGAGTTCTTCAATAGTATGTGTTCAATTGAGTTACCACTGCATTAATTTCTCATTGATACATTTTATTTCTCAAATATATATATATTTTTCTCAATTATCAAAATTACTATAATATCCACAAAACCCCTTCTGATATTAATCAATATATGTTCACTAGTGACGGTCTCCAAGACGTGTTTCCTTGGAGTTCTAGTGAGAAACAGTGACCAGTGGATTTCAACCATGTCTGTTATGAGATAGTAACTCATTGAAGACAATGGTGGATGTGTCGCTGAATTTCGTGGATTAGTTGAAGTTACACATTAACACTGTTGGATGCCGGCCGACTCAGTGGTCTAATGGCTAAGCGCTCGCGAGGCGAGATTGTAGATGCACACTACTGAAGAGTCCCACAATAGGACGAAACGGCCATCCAGTGCTCCCAGGTTTTCCATAGTGGTCTAACTTCAATTGACTCATGATCTCAACGATCAAATTGTATATTTCTGGCATTTATAAAATAATTTTGTTTTTTTTCTCTGTATTGATACCATAGTTTACTGTTTGTCGTTTATTATTGTCCAAACATGGAAAAAATGCACAAGTCAACTGGTTAACTAATGGTTCTGTTGACCATATTTTCACACTAGGGAATTCGTTATTAATCAACATCAAGTAAGTTTCCATGACGCTTTCTTGTTTTTACGTTTGTTACGTCCTCGATCTGTCTACCCATTTTTGTGCTGAGGATAACTTGTCTAATCCAGATTAAGACCCTGACGCGATAGGCTGACCGGCTTAACCTTGAGGCTAGTACGCGTGAGTTCGAAGTGGGTTAGAGAGAAGGAAACTATTCCATCAGCTGATTGACTGATAAGCACGCGAGTGAGAGAAGACAAGTCAACTGGAACACGAAACGATTTATTTCCAATTCCAATCTGGTTCCAGTTTTCAGATCAGTGTAAAACATGCATGACTAACCCAACCACAACGTACAATAATTAGGAAAATACTGCAGATTAGCTTAGAAAATAGAGTACAAAATAATACGTTTAAATTACAACAGCTTTGGAACAAAAAGGGCTATGACAGTGAATCATACATCAAACGAAAGCTTATGGATATGTAGAATCGACTAGGAACAAAATTAAATATTATTGTTATACAAGCTTTGAATTAAATGAAATAACCTCCCCGAAAAATAGCTTCCGTATTTTGTCAATGCTTCTTGTTTCTCTGTTCACATTTTTCTGCTACCTCAGTCATATTGTTCTTCGATCAATACATTAGGAGTTTTAACGAATCATCAAAGCTCATATTGACTTGATTCACATACTTATCTTTCTTCATTATAATCATATTTCAGTCGAATAATAATAATAATATCAGAAGGGGTCTTTTGGAGATTGTAGCAATTCCAATAGTTGAGCTCATGAGTCAATTGAAGCTAGACCACAATGGAAAACCCCTTCTGATACTAACCAACATATGCTCACTAGTGAATAGTTTCAAGATGTATATGATGGAGTTATAGTGAGAGACAGTGACCAGTGGAGTTCAACTGGGTCAGTTGTGAGATAGTAGCTCACTGAAGACAATGATAGATGTGTCGCTTGATTTCGTGGATTAGTTGAAGTTAGACATTAACACTGTTGGATGCTGGCCGACTCAGTGGTCTAGTGGTTAGGCGCTCACGTGCGACACTGATAAGTCCTGGGTTGGAATCTCGCGAGGCGGGATTGTGGATGTGCACTACTGAGGAGTTCTATACCAGGATGAAACGGCCGTCCAGTGCTTCCGGGTTTTCCATGGTGGTCTAGCTTCAATTGACTCATGATCTCAACTATTAAAATGATAATAATGTTTTAATTCTGCATGAAAAATGGGTAAGCTTCTTGGTGATCTTTAGATAGGACGTTTCATTGTGAAATTTGAGATATCTTGTACTGATTAGTAATATTAAGAGATTTCAATGTAACTTGTTTTTCTTCATCCATTCTAGTTATGTTTCAGAGAATTGATAATACACATTCTCGAATTGAGTTTCTATATCAATTCTGTTAGTGTATCTTCTTAGAATGTGAAATTTTAATCGAACCTAAAGTGCTTCCATCAAGTTAAGACTTAATATGTTTCGAATAAACTTTTCAGGATTTTCAGGAATACTTTCGTATAGTTGATCTTTAAAAAGGGTTCTTGATGATGTTTTCTCAAGGTTTTTTACATACTTTTGTCTAGATCTCTCGGAGGAAATTTTGAAATTCAATTTCATGTTGCCTACTTTTCACTACTAGCCAATTTTTATTTATGGTTTATTCGACACTGTTTGATTCTGTAGTGAACGAGAACTTAGGTACGGCGAACCAATTTATTGTTTTATACAAAATCAAACAGTGCCTTTGTAAAATATGATGATCATACATTCAATACAGTATTTGCATATCTTCTTTGAGTTGTCCTTTACATACTCCAGTATTCTTCTAATCCTGTTTTTATTCCGATCGCTTTCTGTTTTTTTCCCACTTCTCATAATTCCAATCTCCTACTGGTAAGCATTTCACTTCCAATTCTTGCTACATACTACTTATGTCTGTCCGCACCACAATGCATGTATCTTAATAGAGATTGGTTAGATGTAGTTTCGAATATCAACAATTCACAATTGATTGATCACTGGGTGGCGATCAATGTCGTGCGTGTCTAGTCCTTATTAGTGCAGATCGAATGCTATCGATCCGTGGTTTCCTGTCGACTACCTCCAACCACCATCTAATATCAAAAATTGGATGATAAAAACCCTTACATGTAAGAAAGGTACACGCTATCTTCATTCAGTGGTTTAGTCGAAAATACACTAACATATGAAGAGACAGGTACTGGGTCCAAGTCTCAGTGGCAACATAAATACGGGGATATTGTTACATTCATCTGACAATTACCAAATGGGACAAAACTCACTTCCAGGATTCCATTTCTAAACACCATCCAAAGTCTATATTTTTTTTTAAACATACAGCTCAGAAACCATAATCAACAACCTTTCTCATCCTATACAGTTTTCTAATATACAAACATTTATTTATTATTTATTTATTTGAACACATAGATATTGGTAAAAGGAGGCACCAAGTACATATGCGCCACACAAATCTCATTTGGTATATGTGAGACGGCTGTGATACTGCCCGGGTGACCAAACCGAAGCATGTGGTTTTATTAGGGCGTCACACCCGGAGCCTTCGACCAACAGGTCTGCTCCATAACGCAGTGGAGCAACGTAAGGAGATACAGTTCCATGGTAGCCGGTGACCAACAATTGGTTCATACGCCATTTGTTCCCTGAGGATACTGGAGCCCATGTGAACCACTGGTTCGGAATCAGGATTTCCCGACTCCCATAGGTGGATCCTCCATGTCCATTAACCCGGTTAGTGCCGGACATTCACTTTTCGTTCTTTCAATTTCATAAACAACACCCCCACTACGAGAAGTCAGTGAGTAGGACTTTCCTGGCAGAGGCTATATACGCGTGGCCATGTGAGAGCATTCGGAGAGAGAATGGACTCTACCCACTCTCAGCCGTACCAGGGCATTTGGGGGCCATATACAAATCAGTTTACATGATTTAATTTCGCTACTGTAAAGCACTGAAATCCCTTTTATTATTTCATTTTTCCCCTACAGATATTTAACAAAACTTCCATCATTAACAACATCATCAAACTATACATTACCGATTCGTGTATTAGAGGAATTATTCAACATCTTAATCGGAACATGTTCATCTACAAAAATCTCTTTATATTCAAAACAACTATACTTCAGTATTGAATGGATTTGTCGACATTTATCAAAGCATCATTATTTTAATCATTTGGCTTATTTTATGGATCAACAATTACCAACTACAACTGGTGGTTACCTTAAAGATTTCACTACCCAATCACAAGTATTTGATCCTGTGGAATTTTTCAAATTACCAAAAACTCGTTCTTTTATTAATCTAATAATTGCACCGTTGAAATGTACTTTTAACTTATCGGATAATGGTAGTCCATTTTCTGTAAGTGATAATTCTTTTGTTGTTCTTTCAATGACATATATGTATACTGATTGATGATTGAATATTCTATTTTACTTAATACGCTTAAAATCTGATACAATTTGATACTAAAACTAAGTATGCACTACTCAAAGTAAAAGGAAAAGACATTGTGAAAAAAGGTAAAGCAGGAGAGCGAAGTGCAGTGAAAAAAATACAACCAAGAAGGACTAGTTAGGGGCGACAAAACCAAAACGTAGCATTGTCCATAAAGTCATTAACTTCTTGTCTGAGCCATGTTGGGAGATGCAGACTAGTTGGTTGGGGTCCGCGCGACTATCGTAATCAATGGTTGGAGATTCTGGATGACATGGCTCAGAATCGATTACAATGGTGTAGGTGTGTACACTCTTTGTCTTCCTTTAAACTGCGAGATTAAAATTACTTTATACATTTCTTTCTGCAAATTAACTCTTTCTCTTTGTATCATATTCTTATATACAATCTTTTTATATATCACTACCACTGAAGTAACTGTTTCTATGAATTCGTTGTTGTGCTTATGAGGTATGGCAACTTGGACCGATGTATACATGTGCCTGGTGCTACGTTGTAGCTGACTGACTTTCAGTTAAGGAAGTCCCTCACTTTTATGATGAATCCTTAAGTAAATCATATCATGACAGCTACTGGCTTATATTCTGAGTCATCTTTAATGACACCTCAATCCCTTCAGTAATGCCATCTTTAAAACGACCTCAACCAGGTAGTCGTAATGGAACGACAGTTGCCAGTATTGTAAAGCTTTCTTTTGTGCCACAGCACCATATTATAAGTTGATCACTCCGCTACTTTTTCCACCCAGTCCCAGTGTCGACAATTATTGCATTATGTGAAATTCATTAAGATGACATTCTTGACACATGCAAACCACTGAAGCTGGTGTTTTTCCAAATAGCAAAATCTGTGAACTTATCGTCACGGTGACCCAACACACTTTGTTACATCTCCCACATCACTAATATAATGTTGTTAATGGATGCTAGTAAACTTTCGGAGACAATGATAATTGAACAGAGAGTTGCCAAACATTCTCAGTTTTCCTAGATGCCTTCATGTTGTTTATTGTCATATCTTAATTATCGTTTGATTATTGAAGGGCAATAAATTATTAGTAATCGACTGTGTAGTTAGATGTTTATCTCACAGTTATACTTGTTATATATAGACTGTTTGTATTTACAATGAAAAAAGTACACGTTTAGTGATAGTTGGTGTTATAATTCTCTCTTATTGCAACCCAGCTATCCCTATTGCTTAGTATTCTTAGACACCAATTCACTCGACAAGTCCACAAATCAGAACACGGTTGGACAGGAAAGAAATTATATCCCAAATAACAAGGGTAGATGGAAGTAAGAAGCACAATAAGAAAAACGTTAGTATGTTTATAGTTTTTACACGAGAAGTTTCTAGAGTGTTCTTCAAGTATCGACTAGCGCTGATTGGATAAGGATTATCCAACCTTAGCTGCTACCTTGACGCGGTGGTCGGGCTTGCCTATCGTGATGACCCAACCGAGCTATATTGGCTGGAACATATGTTCCTGTAGGTTCTACCATGCCAAGCAGGTCGATTGGAGAACGGTAAGACCAAAAGCAGCAACTCAAGGTCTGAGGACGAAGTCGTTCTGCTGACTGTAGAGGGGTGTGACAGCAGTAAGGTGTTTCCCTCGGACAACCAGCATCTGCAGCGATGCTGCCTTCCCACAAGGAAGGAAGGCGTTAGAAAACGTCGACCAAAAAATGTCACACCTCATCTTACCTCACAGATTTCCTTCTCCGGCAGTAAGGCTCTTTGAAGAACGGAGCTAACACATCAAAAGCCTCCCACACAAGGGCCGTGCGCAAACGGCCTCAAGCAGTTGTCCCTTGGGCTCTGCGGTCACGCTCCCAGGTCGTTAAGACCAACATTAATCCAACTTCCTTTCCAAGTTTTTCAAGAAATACCCTTCCACGGTTTGAGCAGCCGGGAAGTGACACCAGCCCTGATACCCGTAACAGCATGCAAAGATACAAGTACTCGTATATGAGAGATATGGAGCTCACAAAAATTAAACGAATTCACAATATCTTACAAATATATCATTGTTGACTTCAGAAAGTTTATCAAAGGAACCAATTACATGAAATTATTCAAGATAATAGATACACTGTGTTGGTAAGTGCCAACTGTGGAACGCTTATGCTCTTAGCTTGTTATTTACAACTCTAATTTCTTTACAATGAAGAAAATTGTTTATATTCTCTTCTCTTCTACACGTTGACTAGAGTAAAAAGTACAAGTTTGTTTAGAGATCTTAGAAGAATCGAATCACATTGAAATTTATTCGATTATATGTAGATTTGGTAAATGTTAAGATTGATTTTTTTTCCTTCATACTTTATATTTGAAAATGTCACATTCTCAACAAGGTAACATGAAAATGAAAATAAGCAGAGCTCTACTATCAGTAGTATAAGTAATACTTGCTTAGGTATATAAAGTATATTCAGATGATTAATGACTCCCAAGTGGATTCCACTAATATTATCCTGTGATATTCAATACAAAGAAAAAGAATTTTGTTCTATGCATATAATTTTCACTTGTCGGCTAAGTGAACTTCACAAATCTTACAGTCCTATTGTATTTTCCTATTTTTTTCTTCTATTTATGTAGAATCCAATGGTCGATTTTTATCGTGAACTTGTTTTCACAGCATTAAATGATATTCTCATATCAACCATTGATGATCACAATACTTATATTATCGGTGAACGTGTTATACTCAGTGTTGGTATGGAAATGTTCAAACTACCTAATCTACATCAAATTGTTATTCATGGATGTTTAACAGCGGTTGAGAATGAAAATAGTCAATTAAACACTGAACAACAACGACAACAACCACCACATAATGGGACTATTTCATTGATTCCTTCTATCAGTAAGTACGTTGTAACATTTATATGTTTCGTTTTCACAATAATCATCATATGTAAATATTTTTTGTTTGCTATCAATAATTAGCATCACTTGTAAATGTTATTTTATACATATCTTTGTTTGCATAACTAGCTGTTAGATTGATGTATAGTCTTTGCCCTTTTTCAATAGCTCTGTAATTCATCACTCCGTAATTCATTAATTATCATGTTCCTTGCTCTTAGATTTCTTAACACTATGCCCTAAACTATATGTTGGGGCTTCTATTTTTGTAACCCAGTTGTTATTATCTACGATTTGGGATTTAATTCATTTAGATCTAAGGTAATTTCTAATCAAAAACTTTTTAAGATCTCTTCTAGTGTGAACGTAAAATAATGCTAACTCTGTCATGCATCCACTGATATATGACAATACTTTGACGTTAATAATCCACAAGTTAATAAGCAATAGAGAGGATCGACCTCTAAGAATGTTCCGAACATAAGTAGAACAGTTCCGTATATATGGCGACAAATCCTTGGGACATAGGAAACTTAGCAAATTAAAGGGGACAACAAAATCAATCAGAAAGCAAAAATGATCACGCTAATTAATAATAATAATGAGTTAACCTACTTTAAAACCAGACAAGTACCACTAGATAAAGCTCTGACATTTTATACAATGCATGGGTTGGGTGTTCCTACAAGCCACATTATTCATACTTCAAGTAATTAAATATGTGACTGCAACTTCTGTAGTCTCATACGTAAAGGTATTACTTTGGGTTCGAAAGGGAGGGTTTGCACTTCTCAACTATTTCTCAGCTGATAGTAGTCTATGAAGTGAAATGTACTGGAGTTACGCCCCGTAAAATGTTTGTAGTCTTTATCGAAATAAATGGTTATTATCCTTTAAAACTGTACAACCATTTCAGATTTATCATATCTGACAAGAGTGATGACTGATTATACTGATTAGTTTACTCAGAACCACACTTAGATACGGCTTATGAGTTCTAGTAAGTAGTTATGAGTGATCGTTCGGTTCAACTACGCTCTGACAATCAGTGACTCCTGTAAAGATTTCAAGTGAGTTTTCTAATAATCTGGTAATCGTCAATATGAACTCTACGTTGGATACTTTTTTTATCGACTTTCTTTCAATCAGTTATCAGTAGAAGGGATCAGTTAAGTCACTGATGATTCTAAAGTATATGCTTGGAATGCAACTGTACTTCGAATCAAGCACGTGCTTTTGCGTTGTAGTGGCGCTGGAAAATTTAGGGATATAATCAAATAAAGCTATAGTGATTTTCCAGAAGAAATAATTGTTTACTCAGTGGAATTTGAAGAAAACTTTCATTCCGATGTATCCTGACACATAAATAAAATATGTTTCACCCCAGCATGATACGAATATAACTAGCAGCGAAAGATACTGAGACAGTCTACGCAATAATTATGGACAGCGGACGGTGACGATGCCGAAAAATGAAGCGGACCACAGTTCTAGGTAACCTTAGATTGTTGTTGAATGTTATCAAGAAGAATCGAAAGTTGATTCCAATCTATTTCACACCAAATGTGTTTATTCATTCTCTCCACCTACTCGTATTCAGTTATGCTGTATTATTGACCTAAATTATTTTATTTTCCATGTAAACATACTACTCCTAATCTTCCTATCTAATTCTTCGTAGTGAGTAGTAAGGTTATGTTGTGAAGTTTTTCTGTATGTATTAGTATAACTTTTCCCACTCATAGGGCACATATATTTGGTAGTCTCACTTAAATTCTTGCAACCACAAAATACTTGTACTTAAATTTTGTGCTTTTAGAGGTCGGCTGTTGTTTGCGATCAAATGACTAATCGTCTGCTTTTCGAGCTACCTGGGTTCGACTCCTCACATACCGCTTTGTGGAGTAGTGGGTGGCTCAATGAGTGAAGTGTCTGACTTTTAGCCGCCAAATCATAGGTTTTAAGATAGCTCCATTTACTGTGGTCCGGTCAACCAGGTAGTGGTATCACTCTGTCTCTCACACGTAGAGTGTAACCCAGTGCCAAGTGCACGAATGTATATCTCATCTGTGCTAACGGGGTGTGGCAACTTGAAACGACTGATAGATGTACCAGGCTCTAGGTTGAGTATGAATTACTGATCGAATGAAGTATTTGATGAAAGTAAATGTCCCAAAACTGTTTTTAAATCCATCCATTGATTTTTATTGTTAAAACAGATTTATTACACCTTTTTGTGACTGTGGCTATACCTGGCATGTTGGTAAAATGTGATCCAACCACAACCACATCAAGTTCAACTGTCCATACAACCGAGTCATCAATGATACAAGATACTGATGACGATGATAATCATGAAGAAGCAGTGACAGAGGAAGAAGGAGGTGACGAATCATTGCCAGTTCTGTTAGCTACTGAATCTTACACACATTATACATGGTCTGGTTCACCTTTAGAAGCTGCGATAACGATACGTTTTGTTGCTCGGATACTTATGAGTTGTTTAACGGAACCTCATCTGCCTATTGTTCGTCCAATTACTGATCCTAAACCGTTACAACTACGAATTGGACAAGGAGAAGAATTATCAGATGACGACGATGGTGATGATGACGACAACAAGATTAATGATAATCATAATAGAATGAAGGGAGTGGAAATCAATGATCAGGAAATGAACATGTCAGCTGAATTTACTAGAAGTACTAATAACTGTAGTCTTATTTCAGAGGCTGTCTCGTTTCAACCAGTATGGGTATATTTCTTATCTTTGTTTCGCTTTTGTCGAAAATGTGTGTTTTTGTCTTTGAAGTTTTGGTTATATAGTTGTATTCTCTTTAATTTTGTTGAATGATTTAATTGAGACTGCAGTCAGTTTATACTTAAGATGCGTCGAAAAAAGTGGATAGTTATTTATATTTTTGACTAATTAAAATGCTTCAGTTTGGGCACTCGGGCAGTATCCCAGCCCTCACACAGATCGATTGATTTATGTGGCTCATATCTATTTGGTGCCTCCTTGTACCAATATAAGTAAATTCAAATGCTCCGGTACAGCCGAGAGTGGGGAGATTCCAATCTCCCCCCTCGAAATGCTCTTACATGGCCACATGCATACGACCACTGCCGTCTCGCGGCACGGTTGTTCTTTATGAAATTAAGAAAGAGAAAAGCTAGTGTCCGGCACTTTAACCGGGTTGGGCACACGGACAGTATCACAGCTCTCACATAAATCAAATGACTTGTGTGGTGCATATATTGCTTAGGAATACTATGCGAGTTTCGTGAATTTTTCTAAAAACATTCACCAAATTTAGTTTTGTATTCTCGGCTTTGAGTCACGCTATTTATGTGTAAGAACCATTGATATTATTTTGATGGTCAGACCAATTTATGCGGAGCGGGGTTGGAACCTATCACAGCGGTAGTACCATATTGTTACATTAGTTTTAGTAGATCTAGAGGCCTAAAATGTCACAAGAACACTAATAGATAGTATCTAACACGTTAGGTACTCTGGTCGGCAATGATAAATACACCATACAGATTAAACGACTCATATTCATTGTATCATTCCTAGAAAATAAACTTATTTTATAGTTTTTGAGGAATACATTTTAACCTATATGAGTCCAATGAAAATTTTTACTTTAAAGTAGTCAATTTATGGATAAAAACACCTACCTACCTGTTTAACATCAAATTTTGGCGATTCCATTCATTAATAACCAAATACTAAGTTTTACAATTCACTTTGAATTTAACCTACTATAGTCCAACCTCTCTTCTAAATACTACCAATTTATAAACACAGCTAATATAATAAATATCAAGGCATCTATTAATTTGATCCATATACCAATATAGAAGAGGCTAACCAAATTCATTATTAAATATTAACGATGGGAAAACCTGAAGCCTTAGTACTAATAATAAGAGGTCATGTGAGACGGTGGCTTAGTGGTTAGGGTCCTCGACTTCTGGCCTTTAAGTCATTGGATTTGAAACTTGCTCTTCTTACTTCGGTTTGGTCAACCGCGTAGTATCATAAGCCCTCACATTTAGAATGTGATTTATACCATGAAGATATATAACTATATCATAAGTTCCAAATTAGACGAAACATATGTTATTCATCTCACTATTAACCACTATTCAATGTTTATTGATATGCACATAAATCTCACGGGTACTTGTCATCGAGTCGCCCATCTAACAGGCTGTTATTTCAAATCTCTCTTTGTTTATCATAGTTCAACCAGTCAGTTATCATCACTAACCATTGCATTATTTAGTGAAGCTCATTGCGTACATGATACACAAAGAATATCTGTGATTTGTGAAGTTAATTTGTTTTCACAGATTGAAATCATGAGTCAGTTGAAGCTAGACCACCATTGAAAACCTGGAAGCACTGGATGGCCGTTTCGTCCTAGTATGGGACTCCTCAGCAGTGCACGTCCACGACCTCGCCACGCGAGATTCGAACCCAGGACCTATCAGTCTCGCGCGCGAGCGCTTAGCCACCAGACCACTGAGCCGGCCAGCATCCAACGGTGTTCATGTCTAACCTCAACCAATCCACGAAATTGAACGACACATCCACCAATGTCTTCAGTGAGTTACTATCTCACAACAGACCCAGTGCTTTCAGATTTTCCATGGTGGTCTAGCTTCAATTAACTCATGATCTCAACCATTGAAATATTTATTCCCCAGTTGAACACTTGCATACTCAAAAGGTATTTTATGTATATATCATCCTCCTTGATTAAGATTTTATAGTTATAGTTCCTGACTCAGATTCTAATGGATAATTGTCTAATTAGCTAATAGGCAATCAGAATTCAAGAGTTTGTCTATACTGTATTATAAAGACGAATGAAGGATGTTTATAAGTAAACATTGATTGACTTTCCTTGTTTTTTGTTTTTAGGCTTCTCAACTGACAAAAATCTCTGCGTCACTAAGTCATAGTTTACCGGCGCTAGCAGCTAGCTCATTGTCTACACTGGAAAATTTCAATAGTGATTTGGATAATCCAGATAAATTGGAATTAATTCGTTCTTCATCATATCTACATTATTGCCTTTCTCAAGTATGTGGTCTGTCTAGGACATCATTAATACGGTATGTAAAATCATTTGATTGATATTTTGTACTCATTTTAGACTCATATATTCAGGTATTTATATTCCGTACACTTAGAATCATTATTACAACGTATTGATTGCACAATCATATTGACAATTTGTAATCAGGCTACTGAACTGATTAGGTTCGATGATTTAGTTTCATCAGAACTACTCTTAATCAATAAAAGGTGCTCTACATATTCTATGTCAGTTTTAACTTTTCATTTTTCGATGTCATTTATCTCTGTACTGTATTTCTCACATGACCTCTGCAGCTAAATATTCCCAGGTTACTAGTATTTAATCATCCACACTTTTGAAACGTGTATTAGGACCGTGAAGTGAGTGATGCTGAGATTGTACATAGGGTACGAGATATAAAGTAGCAAATCAGTTGATTAGTTTCTGAATTTTCATCAATATAGGTACCTGAGACCTACATCGACACACAATGTCCACTTGTATAGGAATAGGTTTTAAGAAAGCTACGTGCAGCCGCACATGAAAATTTAGCATCAGTTCGTAAAATTTTTGATTGTTAAACTAATCTATGCTGTTAGGTACAAACTACCTAGTTGGGATCCATGATATAATCGTTAAGTGACAGATCTCAGAATTATTCACAATTTTACAGATGTTTTTTGTTTCAAAATACTTTTAATTTTCACTGCACAAATTTATCTTACCCTTTCTTATTCAATTACATTATTTATACCTAATCGTTTCTATGACCATTAATGGATAATGTCACTAATTCTCCGGCCCTCAAATACCCTGGTACGGCCGAGAGTGGGGAGAGTCAGCTCTCCCTCTCGAAATGCTCTCACATGGTCATGTGCATACAATCACTGCCAGCGAAGTCCTACTCACTGTTTTCTGACGGCAGGGGGTTTCCTAACGAAATCGAGAGAACGAAAAACGATTGTTCGGCACTAACCGGGCTTCGATAGAACAATGAGAAGACGGAGTTTATCTGAAAAATGTGATGTATTTGCGCTGTACATTTCGAACAATCTGGTCACACACATATACTTTTCAAGGCATTTTTATATGAAAATTGATAAAGGTCAATTAAATAAAAGTTCAGGTAAAATAACAAAAGGGGGGATAACGAATAAGAAATTGTCGCGTTGTCCTGGGCCATAGAATGACTTAAGGATTAACAAGGTAAATTCAAGGTTACAACAAATTGTTTTTGTACACATAAGGGGGGTTTAAATTTACAAATAGCCAAGGCTTCAATAAAATTAAGAATTCGTTCTTGACCATTTCTATACAACGTTCTAAAAGCTGTATTAATGTCAATTTTGTACCCCGTTTCAATTATATGTTTCACTATCGATGAACCTGGTTTTCTAACTCTCACAGTGATCGGATCATTTGAAACACATTGATTTTGAAGCCATCTCGGCACATATTCATTGACCCTTGAGTGCATTGTTCGATTACTCCTCCCTATGTATGTGTGTCCACACAAACATGTAACCGGGTTAATGAATATGGAGGATCCACCTATGGGAGTCGGAAAATCCTGATTCCGAACCAGTGGTGCACATGGGCTCCAGTATCCTGAAAGAACAAATGGTGTATGAACCTATTGTTGGTCACCGACTACCATGGGATTGCATCTCCTGACGTTGCTCCACTGTTTTGTGGATTAGAGTTTTAGGTCTAGGGCTCGAGTTGTGGGACCCCCTAAGAAAACCACCTGATTCAGTTCGGGCAACCGGGCAGTATGACAGCCAGCGCACAATTCAAGTGACTTGTGTGGCGCATATGTATTTGGTGCCTCCTTGTACAAATGTTCATGTATTTAAATAAATAAATAAATAGACAACTATTTCTCCAACCCTGGTAATTTATCTTTATCTAGTTGGAAAACTTGAAACGATCTACATGTTTATGTTAGGTTCTACGTTTGTTTTTTTGTCGTTGTTGACTAATTGGTATGCTATATTTAATGCTTACTTAATAAATAATTATCTTTTTTAATTTGCATTTCTTCTTACCTTTCTTCTTCTTCTTCTTTTGTCTTTATTCTTTTCAGCATTAACTCAATTTATTCACAGTATACAATCTATTTACGTTGTTTATGGAAATTAATTGAAAATACTAAATGTTTAAATAAATCAACATTAAATTATTCAAATACCAATATGTCTACATTGTTTAATATTTTATGCTCGGGTGAATTACCTACGCATTTAGTGGAACTTCAAAGGTTAGTTAGTTAATCCATTTAGACTTCTGTCAATATGGTTTGCAACTAAACGAATTTCATTAATTGTTGAAAAGAATGTTGTAACCTCGTATGTGCTGGGATCATCGGGTAAGTAATAGTAAGGTTATGGGGCAGCGTATTAAGGAATGATGATGGTAAATCAGTTGGTGGGGTTATGAATCTTCATCGGCTGAGATGGTTGGGCCACGTGCCACTTATGTCTGAACTACGATTACCACGACGTGCAATGCTGACTAGTGTTTGGGATGATTGGAAGAAAGTTAGGGGTGGCCAAACAAAAACGTGGCTTCACTACTTGAAGTCACTAACTTCTGGTATGAGCCATGTTGGTAGATTCAGACTACCGTTTTCACGTCTGTGGACTCGGGACAGCATAACAATCATCCATGTAGTAATCGTTGAAAATTGATCTAGTTTGGAGTGCTACAAAACAGCTGTTACGTCTTAGTGTGTCTCCTTAACAGTTCACACACTTCACCGGGAATCTAATTCAGGAGTTTCAGATCTGGCGTTGAACATCCAACAACTAGAACCACTTTGCTGGTGTCCACTAGTACCGTTTTCACGTCTGTAGACTCGGAACAGCATAACAATCATCCATGTTGGTAGTGGAACAGCTGTCACTATTGACTATGAATGGTCGTCGCGCTTTTCCGCACTTGATGGAACTTGGAATGATATTATTGGATTTAATTATTTCAACGGTTGTCTATTCTCTGAGAGATCCGAAGTTCCTGAGTTCTATCCCTAGTGCGGTTTTGGGTACTCACTTTCAAGGTGTTCTACATTGGGACAAAATTGCTGTTCAGTGTTTCACTGATATTTTATGTCATTCCAAATATTAATCTGTCATGAACAACACCTGTAGGTTAAACCAATCTCTTAAAATAACCTGTTTATTCATTTATTTAAACACAGTTATCTTCCACTGATATTTACATTTGCTGATTGTCTTCATCATCGCTTATTATGTTTAACTGATTCGGAAATCTGTGACATCTCATCGGAAGTGAACTACACCAACTCCAACGATTATCGTCATCAACAACCAATCAATAATAATAGTGAACCCTCACGAGGAGGTTGTGGTTTTCGTGCTGATGAATTATTACAAGTTGGTGCAAGACTTCGTGATCTTATGCTCGGCCTAATTGATTTGTCACATCCTGATCAAGTGCCGAAACAAACTCGTAATTTACAAACAGATACACATTGTGTAGAATCAATGGAACAACCAAATTATGGTGCAGTATTACGTAGAATAGAACAATGGGTCGAAATAGCCGATCTTGGCAGTTCACCTATTGGTGATCTAATGATGCGAAATTATACACAATGGGTAAAACATTTTCTTAAATAATATAATAATACATTGCCATTACATTTTTGTGAACTGTCATTAACAAATATTTTGTAAACCATTTCACATACAAGTTCGCTTGTGAGTTTATCAACGAGCATTATACCACAAGTCAAGCAATAGTGTTCCTAACTCTTAAAAGTGTAACTCATATACCAAATACAGATTTGGATTAACTTAACTGTCAAAGTCGTTAATTATGAACCTAGATATTACAACTCCCAATCGCATTATTATTAGATCCTCACCACCTTGAACTTGTCTAATCCTAATTCATGAAATTTATTATTTCCTTGTAAGTATATGTTAATGAGTCTGTATATTCACCAGTAATTATACTCACTTTTCTTCTCCGTAATAATATATGACGTTTTCTACTCACGTAACTTATCCGTCTTCTACTTCTTTTTAGTTTCCCTAGCTGAAATGGAGTGACACTAAGGGGTTGTGTAGATAGTAATACATAAAACAACCGGACAACTGAAGAACTTGTCCTCCGGGGACGTTTAATAATGTATTAAATAATGGAAATGAATATAGAAAGAGTTTATTAACATGTATTCAGAATATTTTCACTATTGAGAAATTTGATGTACCGTATACTTTTCAAACTAAGTGTTTTATAACTCCAGCTCGTGTAATTATTGTTAGTGTATGTACACATAGACATATGTGAATGAAAGTCATGTAAAGCGAAAACGCTTAACGAGAGGTTGGATAGCTCCGTAGCAACATCTTATATTGTGAACCTGGGTAACGTGAGTTTGAATCCTACAGGCAGCATCACTTCCCTCAATATTGTAGGCGAATCCTACTGATAAGTACGAAACCATGCATCGAGCAGTGTTTCTGTTCGACTACTTTCAACTAGTACATTATATCCACTTGCTGTGTTATTTGCCTTAATATTCATACTTATTTATTAGCTCTTCAACCAGGCGCAAATACATGTACTTGGTCTTGATCCACACTCTAAGTTTGAGGGCTACTAATACTGAGCGGCTGGTTAAACCGAAGTAGGTGAGGTATGTTTGAACCTACTACTTAGTAGCTGAAAGTTGAACGTCCTAACCGCTAATCCATTTCTCCAGATTTATGCAGAACTGTGTATGTATTTATGCGTATAGCTGAATTTAGCAATTGATTACTCTCTCATTCTGTATGTATAGAACTTGTTTTTTTCTTTCAGTCGATACCGGATTTTCGTCTTTTACTATATTGTTGGTGTAGTTTACTGCGTCGAGTTGAACGATTAGTATTTCAAATCTATGATTGGGATCGTCGTTGTCGACGTCAACAAGATACTAGTCTGCCTATCTACCTTTTACAAAATCCACAATCCACAACGACAACAGCTTCTACAAATGCATCATCTACATTTTCATCCTCATCCTCATCAACTGATATTGCACGCGTAACCAATTCACCACGTCTACCACTTGGCACACCAAGTCTTAGTCAAACATTTTGGTTGAAAGATAACTTATTTGATTTATTAAATACTACAGAATCACAATCTTCATGGTTTGAAAATCATGGTTATCAAAATACATTGGCATTAGCTGGTGCACCGTTTGGTTATTATAGTATTTTGAATCCAGATCGAAATCAAGGTTAGTGTAGTGTCATTTATTTGTCATATTATATTGATTAGAGTCATCATTGACTGAAGTTAGTTAAATAATCATTGAAAACCAGTAAGTAATGCACAGCCGTTTTGTCCTAGTATGGAGTTCCTCAGCAGTACATATTCAGAATTCCCCTGAGGATTGAATTCGAAGTTTTCTAGTGAGAAGTCGCAACTGTTAGAGTTTAGATATGTAGAGAGTTAAACTGATTAAAATTATAAATGTGAATCATTTGTGTCAGTGCCGTGGTCGGCCTGTTATGCGCTCGCTGCGTGATCTGAGAAGATTTTTTACAGTAATTAGTTGTTACAAACTTAAGTTATTTGAGAACTCATTGATTAATTAGTTAGTTGGCTTGTCCTAAGTAATGATCACCCATATCCAACTTAGTACAAACAACTTTCAATCCTTAAAAAGATTCAATTGTGACCTATCTAGCTCTCAGTATGTAGATGTTTCTGACATTCAAATTGAATAAAGCGGGTATGAATCCTACAGGGATTATCGATTTCCTTAAGTTTACAGGTACAACTTATTGAATAGAGCCAACTAACATAAGACTCCAGGTATATTAAACAAAGGCACTCTCTCAATTCCCTTCAGCAATAGAATGATACTTCTAGTACTCTTTGTGTATATCTCAAAATGTTTCTATAGCAAAATAATTTCTAATACAGATCTGTTTGTCTGTTTTTTTCGTTTAAATGTCACTGGTACTAGAATCATTTTCTTTATCCAATCGTCAAATACGTCAAGTCTTATTATTGAAAAAAGTTCCATTTGTTATACCATTTGAAAAACGAGTTAAAGTAAGTATAGTGTGTATGTTATGTATATTATTGGTTGCCTATTCATTGCATTGTTGTCATTGATTTAAGCTATTCGTCTACACAATACATCTCTTTGAATTATTATTATTATTATTATCATTATTATTATTATTATTATTGTCATTAGTGTAAATCCAGTGTTCTACTTGTCTATTATTCAAGTGCTCAACCTTAACATCGATACAATGATCTTCATCAGGTTTGTTTAGTTTTCTCTGATTATAAGATTGACACCAGTTTCTTCAATTTTGTCGATGAAATTTACTGATTTTTTTAGTTGTTCACAAGTATTACTATCAGGGATTAGTTGGTTGTCGTATTGTTTGAAACAATACTTAGAGTTAAATTGTTGCTCCAAGTTGAGAGTATATGAATCGGTAAATGTGTTACTTCGATAGCAAATGAGATAATAACATCGCAGATCGTATAGGATGTCATTAACCAAGCACAATATTGAATAAAACCATTAATAATAATAATAATAATAATAATAATAATAATAATAATAATAATAATAATAATAATAATAATAATTACTTGGCTTAATTCCACAATTGTGTGGCTTGTTCATACCATCTGTTAAGTTTGTCTTACATTGTTCCTACATGTTCCTTTTCTACTCTTTTGTATGTTGTTTTATACTACTTATTTACATTCAGTAGGCAGTTGTATACCCAACAATTTTCACACTTATGTTGTAACTCAAGTTGTACTGTAACATTCTGGAATGTTCACATATATCTTTAATGTTTATTTTACTTATAATTGTATTTATCATTATAATCACTGTAATTTAATTACTGTAAAGGTTATCCACAGTTTATGCATTTGTTTGAATGCAACAGTTTCCATATTGTTTGCTCTTGGTTCGAGTTTCGGTTGTTCATAAACTGTTACCAAATTTAGACACAGCTATCGGCTGTCTTTGGACTATCGAAGCCTTTGCTATTTTTATTCTTGAACGACGCGTTTAAACGCCCAGACACCTCACAAGTTGAGAACCGCTTTTGTAGACAAATCGTTGTTTTGGGACTTCGATTTCGCGCGTATCTCAATCGGGGTTACTTCGACGCTTCGATAGAATTAACAGTTCTCAACTTTGGTCTCATTGGTGTGGATACCAGTTCTCAACTTTGGTCTCATTTGGTGTGGATACCAGTTCTCAACTTTGGTCTCATTGGTGTGGATACCAGTTCTCAACTTAGGTCTCATTTGGTCTGGATACAGTTCTGAACTTTGGTCCTAATTGGAGGGAACACTTGCTGTAACGAAATTTGGTCGGAATTCTGTTTGGTTCATTCATCCCAACGATGACTAGAACGAGAAGAATGAAGTACAACGATGACAGTTCCCAAGACACAGACAATTCCAGTGCTGAAAATATTATTCCTTCAGTTTCCAAGGTGAACTCACCTATTCCTTTAAATCTTGCCTTTGATGTTGTTAAACCTAACCCCAAAGACAGTTGCTCGGTAGGAGACAACTATATAGAGACTAGATACAGTGTAGAAGACGAAGTGGACTCTAGGGAAAGGGAAGTAGAAAAGATTGAGCTGGAGATAAGAGAACTCCAACTACGCAAGCGATTGTTAGAGCTAACTCCGAACTCTTCAAACAAAGTGAGAAGACCTAGGGAGACTATCGAGTTGTCGGGGTCTCGATCCGAGGATAAAACTTCGGCAGTTACAGCAAGTCACCGATACACCAATGTACTTTCGAGCGATGAAATGCAATTCAAAGCACAGGTAGATAGTGTCAAGGCGTTATGTATGTCAGTAAGCTTACCGAAGATAGAAATCATGAAATTTGACGGGAGCCCTCTGAAATTTTGGACGTTCATGAAGGGATTCAAGGTTAACATAGCTGACAGAGTAAATGATGACACCCAGAAATTAATGTACTTGATACACTATTGCGAAGGTATAGCAAAGGATGCTATAGAACACTGTGTTTTATTACCAGAAAAAGAAGGTTATACTGAGGCAATTAAGCTTCTACATGAACGGTTCGGCAGACCACACGACATCGTAGAAGCCTTCTTAACAGAACTCTTAAGTGGATCACCATTGAATCAAGACGACATAACTGGCCTACAGAAACTGACAAGACTCATGACTAATTGTAAGATAGCCTTGTCACAGATGGGCAGGAATGACGATCTGAATTGTTCGACCAACATAAAACGAATAGTGAAACAGCTACCACGTAGTATGCAGTTTAAATGGGCGGAGGCCGCGGACGATATTTTAAGAAAGGGGCTAGAGCCCAATTTCGATGATTTATTGCAATTCATAGAAAAGAAAGTGTCAATCGCAACAAACACATACGGACAATTGGCATGCGGAAGCTATAAGACTCAAACGACATCGAACAACCGGTCGTCTCCCATAAGAGCGAAGATCCATACTTCGTCGATTAAAGGATCAGTCCATTGTGTAATTTGCTCCGATGCCCACGAAGTCGCATCCTGCCCTCAGCTGTTGTCAGTGAGTCACAACGAAAAGGTAGAATTGTTAAAGAAGTTTAAACTTTGCTTTAATTGCTTAAAACCCAATCATCGAGTCACAGAATGCAGACAGCCCGTGTTGTGTGAAATTGATGGATGCAAGCGACGCCATCATAGAATTCTTCACAACACAGAACCTGATGTTAAACGAGCATATTGTAACTCTACTCATACTACTAGGACGTATTTAGGCTTTGTTCCAGTCAGACTACATGGTCCCACAGGTTATGTGGATACCTATGCACTGTTAGATAATGGCTCGGATTCGACATTGCTGCTTAGTGACGTAGCAAAACAGGTAGGAATTTCTGGTACAGTGACAAGATTAAACATATCTTCAGTAATTGGAGCGTCATCTCAGAACGCTGAACTTACCAATTTCGAAATTGAGTCTTTAGATAAGACCAGCCGAATAAAAATCGAAGGTGCATATACTATAGATAACTTACCTATCAAAAGAGCAGAATTCCCACCAACGGACTTCCAAGAAAGATGGAAACACTTGAAAGGTGTACAACTACCTACCATAGCCTGTGACAAGGTTGGTTTGTTACTTGGTGTTGACGTTCCAGAGGCCCACTGGGTACTCGATCAGCGTATCGGAAAACCTAAACAATCCTATGCTTCACTAACCATGTTAGGGTGGGCTTTATTTGGGCCAACGGGTCAACTTAATAAAACTTCAGTCTTCATAAACTGTTTAGAAGCAAAGAGTTCTATCGAGGACGGACCCACGCCGCCCCTTTCTTTAACCACAGTAGCGCCTGAAAATTCTTCAAATCGTTCGTTGCTGTTCATAGATGATCCTGGTTTATGCCTTAAACACTCCTGATGTGGCACTCTTAGTCGATGATGATGATGTACGCTCACTCATAGTAGCAGCAACCGCTGTTAAGACTGAAGATTCCAGGGTTCATCAAGGTTTACCGTCAGTTCGTTCTTCTGGATTTGACACTCCACCTGATTCAAGAAGCAACCGACTTATAGACACCTTTGATTCTGTATCTAAAGCTACAGACCAGAATTTAATGGAATTAGAACAAGTTATTTCATTACCAGCTATTGACGATGAGTACCTTCTAAAAACTGTCAACGAGAGTCACGTCGATACAGTAGTGAATAATGACCTTAGATGTATTTCTCCTCCAGACAAAATTCTTCCAACAGATAGTGGAGAGTTAATGTCATCGAAAACATCTGTTATGTTCTCTGCCGAAACAGATCTCCCTGGTGTTTCTGACGTAAACAATAGTGCTAAGTCTGTGATACAACTACACGAGTCATCAATTAGTTGCAAAGCAACAACAACTCAGTTCTCTGCAAACACGAAACTTGTATCTCCTGTAGTGGCGTCTGCTGAGAGTTCTATTGACATCAAGTGTGAAACAGAGAATCAGAAAGATGATTGTGTTATTCAGTATGCTGATGATGATAAGAAGTTTAAGACAACTACATCCATCCCCCCTTTAGTTGGGTTAGACAAGCAGATACAACATCCATTACCAGGCTTTAATGATAGTAGAGTAGCTAAAGAAATGACTAATCGGAACATAGAACGGCACCATAACACTCCTTACGCAAATCATCATCGAGTATGGGAAAGATTAATAGGAAGTATACGCAGACCTTTGAGCGCAATATCTATGTCCTACGAGACACTCACCATCTGTTTGACTGAAGCAGAAAGAATACCTAATGATAGACCACTCTTACAGACGCGAACAAAATGGACACAAGGAAGACGAGATTTACAAGTTCGCGGTCCAGTCTTGATTATTGAGGACACTTATGCACAGAATAACTGGTCTAAAGGCCTCGTGGTAAGTTTTGACCCAGGAGGAGATGGTCTATGGAACCAAGCGAAGATCAGAACGTGGAAGGGTACAATTATTAGAGGCATATGTAAAATTTGTTTATTAGAAGGAGCTGACGACCGAAAAGTAGAGGATAGAGAGACTTTTCAGAGTGACTGTGGCTAGAGTAAATCGTACCATTGTCACCTCTGAATGTTTTTACGTTAATACCTAATCAGCGAAAGTAAGGAAAGACATGCTGTCTTTGGGGGGCGGTGTTAAGTTTGTCTTACATTGTTCCTACATGCTCCTTTTCTACTCTTTTGTATGTTGTTTTATACTACTTATTTACATTCAGTAGGCAGTTGTATACCCAACAATTTTCACACTTATGTTGTAACTCAAGTTGTACTGTAACATTCTGGAATGTTCACATATATCTTTAATGTTTATTTTACTTATAATTGTATTTATCATTATAATCACTGTAATTTAATTACTGTAAAGGTTATCCACAGTTTATGCATTTGTTTGAATGCAACAGTTTCCATATTGTTTGCTCTTGGTTCGAGTTTCGGTTGTTCATAAACTGTTACCAAATTTAGACACAGCTATCGGCTGTCTTTGGACTATCGTATGTTGTAATCATTCTTTATGTTACTCTTACAGGAAGCTTTTGC